ATGGGAAATGGCAATTTTTTAAAAAGGAGAATTGTGGTATGTACATGTACCAAGTTCCTGCAAGGAACAGGATCATCACATACTACAAACATGCACAAATATATCCCAAGAGATGGGGCGGAGGAGCCAAAGGAGAGAGGAAGGAGATAAAATGGCATACCATGTGCCTTCTATACATGTACTAATTTCCCAAAATGAATGTAATCATTATGCTCTACAAACATGTACTAAGAAAAAAAATAAAAATAGATTACCTGAAAATTTCTATGACAAGGCACAGGTTCAGAATGAAGTGGCCAGTACTGAAACACACGTGAATTCTAAGTAAGGTGTTCAGCTTTTCAAGATTACAGTATCACTCACTATTGCTTTGAAAGATAATTGTCTCACATGTGCTCTACTGCTTAGCATCACATGCATCAATTTAGATGGATTCTGCCCAGAAATACATTCTTGGTACTAGATTTACATATAATATCCATACAAATATAAGGAAGTCATTATCATGAATCAAAATTCCAACAAATAAATACTGTACCTCTACTATACAACAAGCACATGAAATCGAATTTTAAGATAAAGCATTAAGAAGCTGAGGCCCCTAAACAATCTAAATAATGGAATTTAAAATGTAGAAGAGAGTGAAGATTGTATTAAATTGGAAGCTTTCCATAAGGCAGCAATATAAAAACAAAAGTTTTGAACTCAGACTTAACTGTGTTTCATTCCCACTTGTACAATCATCAACTGTAGGATCGTATACAAGTTGTTATAAAAACAGGCACGGTAAAGGTACATGGATAAACTAAGTTAATGCTTACAAAGTACCCAACAGAGTCCCTGCATGGTGGTAGATGATCCATAAATAATGAGACTATTCATGAAACATGCTATTGATAACATTAACTGAACAATATTATCTTGCTGCCATTTTTCAACTTTTCTGAAGCACCCACCAGTGTCGTTCGCTTATGAGAAATTCTTAGTATGTCTGCTGAAGGAAGGAGCACTGAATGAAACTCATCAGAGATAGGCATGCAACAAAGTCTAGACCAGGCTAAAACACTTCCAACCGTTTCACCCCTCTGAGAAGGGACAGAACTTTCACTTTTCTCTCTTTTCTGTTGTTGTCTGCCTCTGTGCTTGTTTGAATACTTTAAGAACGAAGTAATTTCCCCTGACAGCTAGTATGAATCCAGTCCCAGATCTGACCTGTTATTAAATTGTAAGATAATATTATGATGTTCCGAAGTCATGAGTGTATGGTATCCAGAGATTTAGATTAGACCGAGCCCCCAGTTGTTAGGCAGCAAACCACGCCAAGTGGAACTGCTAACCCTGATGATGGTTAAGAAACATCTAGTAGCTAAGTAAAGCACATGCTTAGGTATGTCTGGGTGGGTGTTGCAGGCACTGCCTCAGGCACTATATAGCATCCCTAGCCAGTTTCTGACACTATTCCTCTGTTCTGCTTTCCAACTGCCCTGAACTAATGGGCTTTGTTGTTCGACATCAGACACCATGATGTTTTGGCCTTGGGGCCTGTCAACTGTGTATTGAATGTCTGGAAACTGTGAACTCAATTAGACCCCCTTCCTCTGAGGTGTGGTAATGAGGCTGTGTGACTCAGTGACAAGAAAGCTGTCTAATAGACCGAGTCTCGCTAATGTCATAGTTCTAGAATGAGAACAGATTTCATAGGAGTCCCTCAATCTCTGATCTCTGTTAACCCAGAAGGCTGGCTCCCAGTTCCTGCCACTTTGTTTAACATTTCCAGTTTATCCATGGCATGTTATAACTCATTTAGTCATCACCTATATAAGACCAGGCATAGTGATGAAATCAAACAAATAGCAAATAAGTGGTCCTGTCCCCAAGTCCTTCCTTTGTTCTGTTAATTAAGTCGCTTAACACGTGACTACATAATGTGTGAAACTGACTTTCAGGTTTAGCCTCTGTTGAAGGAGACAGGAAGTGATTCCTTAATATTACAGGCACCACAGTCACAAGTTTTATACCTTCCCTTTCCTATTTATGAGTATTACAGCTTTGCTCAAATTACTTAAGTACTTTCTACATCTCAGTTTGACTTATGAAATGGAGAAAATAATAATACCATAGGTTAGTTTGACAAGGGTCAATGAGATATCTCTAATATTCTGAGGGCATAAAGCACATAACATGTTGTTCTTGTTCTTTTTCTCACTATCAGTATCATTATTATCATTACCATAAGACTGTCCAACGTCTTTCATGCCTAAAATTGTAATTCTCTATAAAAGAATTCTGCCTTATTTATAGTATAGCACAGAAATCAGGATGATAAAGCAGTGAATGAAAGAACAAAACAGAAAATATAATTGAGCTATAAAACAAGTCAAAGAAGACAGGAATTGCCAAACATAAAGTAGCAGAATAAAGTAGATATAAAATGAAGGCAGAGACATCAATACTAAAGACACCACCTCCACTTAGGAAGCCAGGGCACTCAGAAAAAAACATAGCAAACTGCATTTACATGAAGATGATTTATATGAGTAGATACCACTTCATGCATTTTAGTCATTTCCTCTAATACATGCAGAAATTTTGCTCATAATTTAAAAAATATACAATATCGTATTTCTTGAAATTCAAGTCTAAATCTAAAGTTTTGACACACATTTCCTGCCCTTTCACATTTTCTGTGAGAAGAAAAATAACTCCAGTTTAAAACACATACAACATATCCAGTAGCCACGTTAAACTTGGGTGCACTGTAAAACTACTGTAGTTGGTACCTTGAGAATGTGAGTGTGCCAGTAAGTGGCACTCAAAGGGGCAGAGAACATAGCCAAACTGTCCTATTTGGGAAAGTGAAACACAACTTTACCTTCCTAAAATACTACCTAAAACTTGGCCTTTTTTCCTGTGAATCTGTGTAATTCTATAGTATTAAAAATAATGGTTGGTGTAAAAAAGGAATAAAATACAGAAATAATCAGTACAGAGTGATATTTAAAAATAATAAAAAAAAAAGTTTCTTGCCCCTGACCCAACATGTTTTCAACTCAGTGTTTAAGATGGAAAGGAGGTAAACTGCCCCAGAAATTTTAGAAAAACTAACTAAACAAAAACAAACCACAACAAATCTCGCATCAGAAAGAAAAGGTTATAGTAAATTTATAATCTGTTGGGCCCACAAAATTGTCAAAGCACAAAAAGAGGAAAAATAAAATAGCTTAGCCATTTCAAAACTGTTTTGCTAAAATTAACATTTCTTCAGAAAACTCAATTCTTTGTTGTTGAATTTGTTTTACTTTTATACAGTGAAGGCCAAATGACTAGCAATTGAGGTATTTAGACATAAAGTGGAAACACGTCTTACTTGCATCTAAATCTGAAGTTTTTATATTCACTTTTCTTTTCAAGGATGAAAGTCTAACCTTGGCATTTCTCTCGGCATCTCTTTTCTAAAACATTGTAGGTGTTCACTGTTTTTAATTTCACTAATATGTCTGGTACCCTGATTCTTGTTTCAGACCAGTGTCACAATGGTGCGCTATCATGCCCTATGCTGCTGAGGTTAAAGACTACGAACAAGAAAAACGAATCTGATATAGAAAACATGTAGACAGTTGTTTTGAATTCAAGCTCAGGCTGGGTTCAGACTTATAATCCTCCTGCCTCAGTCTCACAGTGCTGGGATTACAGATGTGTCCTACCATGCTTGATTTTATTAAACTTTTGCTATATGCTAGGCACCAAAAAAGAAAAGATAGTTTTTTGTTGTTGTTGTTGTTTTTTAGTCAAGAAATTTGGGCACAAGGGCCAGTCCCTGCATTTGTGCTATGATATCTGGTGGGGTATCAGTTCCATTGACAGCTAGCCTTTTTAATGGATCATTTTATACTTCACATTGGACATAATAATGTAGGGAAAAATTATTGGGGAACAGATCACATAACTACAAAAAATTTTGTTTGTCTTCCCAATCAAAATGTACTACCAAGAGATGTTTAAGAGACAATCTAAAGGAATCCTTATTAGAACACACCAACACTTACATTTCTGCTTAGAGTATGACTTTTTCAATATTATACTATCAACTCAAAATAAAGAGCTATAAGGAGAAACAAAAAAGGAAAAAAAGCCAGAAAAAAGAGAAGCCAGGATTATAGGTTCCAGTATAAGCCTTAGCATCATGGATCAAATAAACTGTTGGTTGGAAATAAGTTCTTGGGGGAAGAAGGACAAAGAAACTTATCATCATCTAGTTCCTGAAAGTAGTCTTTGGGTTACACTAAAATAAAATATTCTAAATGTTTTATTATATTCTATGAAATGTTTGTAACCACCCCTACTAGGCAAACATTATAGGGTAGTATTTCCTAAATGTATAGAATTATAAAAGTTATACAGTTAGAAACAATAGACTATTATTTTAAAGTTTATTATAAATTTTAAAAGAAATATTCATTCTATTTAATATTCTTGTATTAAGATTCTCTGCAACTCCCAAAGATTGTTTTTGTCAAGTTCAATATCAAATTGCATACTTAAAATTGTGATCTACTGTTCCACTGAGTCAGATTTCATATATAAGTATTTTCTGTTTAACAGCACAGCAACAAAAAAGCTTTAGAAATCATTCTCTACTATCACAAAGCTATAATGTTGCCAATAACAAGTATATATCAAGCCTAAAACTTACTTGATTTTATGAAGAATATTTTGTAAATTTACTTAATAACATGATAATTTATATTTTCTTTCAAAGTGTTTCATTACTAGAATGACAATGTAATATCATTTTCCAATAAGACTGAATGACATTTCATAACCTGAAACATGAACTTAAATAATTGTCACTTCTAATACCGTAACTTGTTGCAGTGGATATACGGCCATTCAAGATTTGACACCCAACATCTGCAAGAACTGTGACTTAGAAATGAAGCCAGCCCTCAGCATATATCACAAGTTTCCCACTTTAGCAGTGTTCTGTGGACAAAACCCACCTCAGACTCAGGGACAACAGCTGCTCCTTGGACTTCAGCAGCTCCCCCACTTTAAAACTCGCATACCCCAAGAAGCTCTGCTGAAAATAAGAAAAAAAAATGGTTTTCATTAACTCCCAGGTTTCTTAATACTTGACCTGTCCCACCAATTACACAAAATCCATCTTCAGAAGAATAAAATATCAATTCTATTAGCCTGACAAATATTTCACTGACAGAAATACAACCATCGATAATGCATCCACCTCATGAGGTGAAGTTGAGGGGTGAAAACACATCATTGGGTTAAAGGCAAAGAAAACAATAGCCTGAAAAATGACAAGATGTAAGATACAGCAGCCAGAACTTTCCACTAACTGTGATTTTCTCCCCATAAGAACTACAGTAAAAGAAAAGATGATAAACATTCAATATTTACCAATGTCGCTGTTCTTATTAGACTTACTCAAGTCACTGACAGGAATGACTGTACTCCAGATATGAGCAAATCTGTTTCTTGGAGCTATTTTTGTGTGGGACTCTGTACAAGCTATAAATGGAAATGCTATATTTCTCCCCCATCACAGAAACATTCAAAAGCATTTGTTTCCTTTGTTATTTCTTCACTAGCATGGGGCAATTTCATTCCAATACACACACAAAAATGGAATTTTTTCAGTTACATTTTCTAACATTGCTTTTTAAACTTATCAGGCAGGGTGTTTTCTTACCTATGAGTATTTGCCTTGTACTGTGTTTGACTCTATGTGAAGAATAAAACCCTAAGTTTTGTTCTCTTTCAGAATAAAGATCTTCCATCTTTTTAATGTCTCTGGATGTTTCTGATTTAAAAGTCAAAATAGTAAGGTCTAAGTAACACGAAGAGTACTTCTCATTGTTTCGTCAGGGCAAGGAATAAGCAAGCAAACCCATGTTATCACCGGTGCTGCTTCCTAGGACTGTGTAACTCTCTACAGAAGGTCAAGGTTATCCCTTTGAGGGCATTTTCTTGTCACAGCTCTGCTGTGGGACTACAATTGAGTAAGAAGCTGGATTTAAAGGGGCTGAGGTCTACTGGATACTTTCAGAAGAAAATAGGAATTTATTCCATATATAAAAAGGAATGTGGACACTAAACCTCAGCTGAGCATGGCTATGAACAAAATCTTTAAGTCAGAACTTCTTACCTCTTTCCAAAACTTTAGAATAGCTGCTTCACAAGGTTTAAAGACAAACATTTGCAAATACAACTAAGTTCTGAAGTTGAGGATGTCTAGCTTTAGTAAGGATAAACCCAAACAAGTGAATCGGATACATTATTAGATGGAGAAAATACTGATAAAAGTAGATTGGAACAGTGATGCAAAGAGAGAGTCAAACAGGCAGAGAGGCAAATTAAGGGGGTGAATCAACAAAATATGCAGAATTGTGCTGACTTTTTGTCAGGTAGCCGAATTCCTCGTAGAGAAGCCACTAACATATGCACTTATGTTACCACATTAAAGACACCTGCCAGAATATACTATCCAAAGGGGCACCCTTCTCTCACACCCACACTCTGCTGGTCTCTTCTTTCTATACTGGTGTATGGTTCTCTATTGGCAATGTTGTGTATTTAATGATTATTTTACTCCCCTCAAGTAACTGAGATAAGAAGCTCCAGAGGGAGCTTTATCTATTTTTCCATAAACTCTCTCTGTGAGGCACACAGTAGGCACATGAAAATAGTTTCAATGTTTACTGACAACGAATGAATGACACGGATACAGCTGTAAGTTAATTTGTTACACATTAGGAAAAATGCTCATTTTGCAGTTATTTATATACTACAGTAATTCACAAAACGGGAGAAAACAAAACAATTTTATAGTGTACAGGCTACATAATATTGTAGTAAATTTCATTTCATCAGTTTGTAGTTTAAATCAATGTACATCTCACTTTCTCTTGCTGATCTCAGTGTTTTTAATTCAAAAGGTCTCTTCTCTATACTGGTGTATGGTTCTCTATTGGCAATGTTGTGTATTTAATGATTATTTTACTCCCCTCAAGTAACTGAGATAAGAAGCTCCAGAGGGAGCTTTATCTATTTTTCCATAAACTCTCTCTGTGAGGCACACAGTAGGCACATGAAAATAGTTTCAATGTTTACTGACAACGAATGAATGACACGGATACAGCTGTAAGTTAATTTGTTACACATTAGGAAAAATGCTCATTTTGCAGTTATTTATATACTACAGTAATTCACAAAACGGGAGAAAACAAAACAATTTTATAGTGTACAGGCTACATAATATTGTAGTAAATTTCATTTCATCAGTTTGTAGTTTAAATCAATGTACATCTCACTTTCTCTTGCTGATCTCAGTGTTTTTAATTCAAAGCTCTGCCTTTCACATAGTTTTCAGACTGGCAAAACATCTCAACAGATCACAAATCTCACTGTGCCCCCCACCCAATTTTTAAATTCTTTCCCATTTGCCTTTGGAGATTTTGTAGGTATGGCTGACTTTAGAATTAACAAAGTAAACTGCACATGTCACGACATTATTGTGGTCTTTTCAGCAAGAAACGCAGCAAACACCCCAGAGTGGAATGCAGCAACTGGAGACAGGTGGAATGGCTATTTTTAGACATAAGCTACAGACACACCATAAGGCACAGCTGCAAGTACAATTGATGACCACAAGGCACTGAATGCTCCTCCTGCCCTCCAGACCAGGGGCTCCTGGGAGCGTGACTTATCCATCACCTAGCCAAGCCAACATCTGGAACACAGGGCCTAAGTACTGAGTCTGTGGCTTCACTCTGAGTGCCTGCAGTGTGCCAGGAACAATGACCACAAGTCAAGCTTTTCTACCACAACTGTCAGTCAAAAATGCTCGGTCTCACAGGATAGTATCATTACCTTCAGAAATAATACAATCTGTTAAAAGCAAAAGACTTTGGTAATGGAATCACAGAATTACATTATGAAAACTTTTCATGCTGGGGAAGTGTTACATATGTACAAATGTTATATTATTCCTTCTAAAAGTAATTGCACCTTGGGATTCTGTGTAGGGTTAAGGCCATTAATAAGACCCCCGAGTTTAAAGACAATATATAGTGTTTATACTCTCCAGTAGGTCTTTCTTTGTTTGCTTCATCCCAATCTAAATATAAAGCTAGGGCCCTTCTCACTTTCGATACTAAAACACAAACGGTCCATCTAGGTGAATACTCATTCGACACACTGTAAGAGAATGAATTAGAAAGAAATCAGTCTTCTTTCTGAGATCCAAATATCTACGTAGGGGAAAACAGCACATGACACTAGTGTAAAAGAATGACAATAGAAAGCTAAGCTGTCTTTGCTGTCACTGTGATTACAACCATAGAATTTAAGAGAACTTATTCAAAAGTTTTAATATTTCAAAAGTAATTCAAGGGATGATATTTTCCATATCTTTTTTGGTGACGTGGCTATCAGGGAAAAAAGACAACAACAAAGTAAGGACTTACTCAAGTTGGAACTGGAAAGTCTGAAGTGTGATTCTAAATTAGTTATTCTGTCCAAAAGTGGAAATGTGGATAATTAAATTACTGCCAAGCCTCAGGCTCATTATCCACTGATTAGCAATCATTGGACTTTGTTTCCTTGTCATTTCCTTGTGTCAGATGTACTTTCAGACCAATGACTCTACTACAAGGGCCTTAGGTTTGCCTTCAAAATTGCATAATATCTGGACCGTTCTCATAGTTACTGTTTAGAGACTTAAAGTAGGCCAGGCAAAGCACTTAGTTCACTGACAGGAAAATAGGAAGTGCACCATAAATATTATGTTGCACAGAGATTAAGATAATATGCCCAGAAATCAGATGCCTTAGAAGGATCTTTGTCTACATTAAACATTCTAGAAAAGACAGAACACTAAAAAGAACAAGAAGAAAAACAAGGGAAGGGGAAATGCTTCCAGGGCAAACATAAAATACATCTGTGAAAATGAAAATTAGATTCAGGAAAATACAAACTAAAGGAGACTCTAGGTAAAGGATGAAAAAACACAAGTTGGTAAGAACCCATACAGTTGTCATTGCTGAGGAAAATTACCTATTATTCTACATAGCTCAAATGTGTATTAAATTATGTGGAATGTTTGTTTACAGGATGTGAAAGTTCATGGCTTTATCAGTTAGTACAGAAAGGAGCAGGGGTCCATGAGAGGTAACTGGCTTACATGCCCTCACATAACTGGTTAAAATGCAGGGAGGCCGGTTAGAATCAGGGTTTCTTGCTTCTCTGTCCAGCATTCTTTTATCCCCATCATGCTGTGCCTCATTTCCAGGACAGGTGGTAGTTCCTTTCCCTCTGACTGGCCCTCTGTCTGCACAATATGTGGCTCTGACCTTTCCTGCCTACTCCTGACAATGCAACACTCGCAGTTATTACTCGGGTGCCCGGACCCCAAGGCAAACGATCATTAAAAGGCTCGATGCATGATTTCCATCTCTCACCTGCCTGGAGAGTGATATCAAAAAGGGTGAATAAGGAGGGCATCCCTGAGTGTTCTATGGGAAGCATGCAAGTAAACAGTTTACCCTGCCAGCCTCTGCAGGGACTTGAAGTAAGTTGTAGACCTCTAGACTGGTCACCAGGGCTTGACAGCTCCATGTCACAGGCCCACAATGGCTCGCAGGACACCACTAAGGAAACTGGAGGAGGTGAAGCCCCATAGAATTGCCACAACATGTCAAAAATGTCATCACCCACATTCGTTTCACAGAGTCTTTATTCACTAGATAACTTTCCTTTATAGTATAATTTGTATGGTGCCCCTCAAACTCTTGCAACTACTTTCCAATGAATAGTATTAGCCTAAATGTAAAAATTGAGATGTTATCAAAGTTTAAAACTATAACTCGATTTAGATTACTTAGCATTAAAACAAATGTGAAGCATAACATTATTTTTTGTATTGACTACATTTTGGAACAATAATATTTTGCATGCACGGGGCTAAATAAAATATATTAAAGTTAATTTAATCTCTTTCTTTTCACTTAAAAAATCTTGATTCTTCCCAGTGGTGTGCAAGGGGTAGTATACAAGGGAGATTTCCCAGAAAGTTATTGCTTTTCATAATTGAAGGAGCAGGGTGACCCTATCTGAGCTTTCTGTTCTTTATCATTCTTCTGACCAGGAATGTCATGCCTGCTGATGTAAGATCCAGATTGGAAAAACACTAAGAGAGGAGGACTAGGAAAATGCACAGCATCTGTTTGCTTGAAGTCACTTTTTGTTTGTTTGTTTGGTACTGGGGATAGAACTTGGGACCTTGCGCTTGCGAGGTAAATCCCTGGTCCTTGAAGTCATTTTTGAGCAGCTACAACTCTGTAAAATTTACCCCGAATGAGAAAGCCCAGCCCACTACTCTTAAGGAGCAATTTGTTAGTTTACCAGTTTCTCAACACCTTCCCAACTGATGAAACAGATGTGTCACAGAATGGCAACTGAGACTTTTTTGGGATTCAGGAATTATGGCTGAATCTCTGTCAAAGATGAGGACGGAACATACCAAATAGACCCCACTGGAAGTGGGAAGGGGAGGGAAGAGGAAATAAGGGAAAAGAAAAAAATACGAAAAAATGGAAGCAAAGTCTTTGTAAATAGGGAAGGGTGAAGCAGGTGAAGGGAGGGCAGGGGCATAGGGAACAAACAAGAACCAAGACATATCATGCATGTTTGCTTTAAATGTACCAGTAAACTTAATGGGGAGAAAAAATAGACCCCACTGTAAGGTCAAACAACCTTTATTGTTTGGATCCAGTAACTTTTTCCAATGCTTAAGGAGGAGCCAGTTTAGAGAAACTGGCCTAGTAGTAGCTACAAAACATCTGGTTCATATAAGGTAGGGACAGAAGAGAGGAAGTCAGTATTTTATGAAGTATAATATACAGATGAGAATAATCTCTTTATTATTTATCTTTCCAGAAGACAATTCTGTCCCCAAAGCCAAAGGTCTCATTCTTTAAAAATAAAAATCATTTCGAAAGATTGCAGGGGTCAAAATCATCTTTTCCTACTCCAAGGAGCAGAAATTGACTCTCTAGTGTCTGGTGCCATTTGGGATTAGAGCAAGAGTCAGTAGAGAGACGGCGGGGCCGAGAGGAAGCACTGGTGAGGCCGTTTGCATTTCTTCCATGTGACCCTCTTGTCAGTCACATGCACAAGGCAGAAAGTGTTTGACCTGGAGCCATGTGTTTAATCAGGGGTCCTCCACAGCAAGAGAGCACTGGGTGAGGTAGACGATGACAGAAGTTGGTCCAGAACGACGCTCCACTGCAAGAAACAGGCAGTGGGGAAAACCACACAGAAATATGTATATTTGTACCCCACAGGAGAGCCAGCATTTCCATGCTTGCTGTACGAGGACTCTGATGGGCAGTGTTAGACTGGGAAACATCAAAACCAGCACAAAGGAAACTGTGTCCTTCCCGTAAGCAAACACAGTGGAGCTTCTGCCTCCCTACTCCTTTTCCCTTGCCACAGCAGCTGACCAGAGAGGAAGGACTAGAACATGCGTGAGACTCAGATATTCTCCTCCCTTCACGGCAGATCACTAGGGTCACAGAGAGAGCTCGTAGCAAGAGATGAGACTGAAGGAAATATAATCAGAGGAAAGACTCAAGATTTAATAGATGGGGTGGATTCCCAAGAACTTGAGTGAGAGAAAAACAGGGAGAAATTTATACAATGAGACAGGTATATAATTATCTTCAAGAGGGGTGGGGTTCAAGAACAGCTGGGGGGATGAGGAGTTAAAGAAGAAAAATAAACACACTCATTCTCCTCCAACTTTAATAAGCAAATGATATATCTTGACACATCACTATCCTTATCAGTAGCAACAAATTAAAAGGGGCTTTAGGGTTATGACAGCTATGAACAGGGTGTGATGAGAAAGTGCATTGAAAGAGGCTCTTTGGGTGGTAGCAGTGGGTAAGGGGATCAAGAAAATGAACCCAGAGCAGCAACAGGGAGACTGGGGAGGACCTGCTGGACACACTGGGCCAACTACTAGAAGGCCCGAGATGTCTAAGCACAGAGCTGGGAATGATAGAACATACCAGGTTAAAGTAATTGGCAGAAAAATAAGCACAAAGTCTCACTTGACTGCAAGGAATTGCTGATTCTGGCCCCAGAAAAATTGGAAGCTGTGTTCGGCACAAGAGTCTATTTCCCTTCTCCTTCTTCACTAGCAGATGCTCAGATAACTGATACAGGGTTCACTCAACTGAACTTGCACTTTGGTGCAGCTTTTGGAGCACTTCTTTGGTAGGTTTGGAAGAGGCTGCTGTCAGTGGAAAACAAATCAGTGGATTCTCATAGCAGGCTGTAGACACAATGGAAGAAGATGCTCAAGACCCTGTAGGATTTCAAATAGGCTTTCAGTTAGCCCAGCCCCGAGGCTTTTTTTCCTCTCTGAATGCACTGTATTCTTTTCAGTAGCCTCTACTTTCGCCCTTTCCTAGCAGAAAGCACCTAGCACTTGGTTGCTTTTCCAGTTTCTAAAGGCTAGAGATGCAATGGTCACGTGCAGCAGGAAAGCCTCACTGGGACTTCCCAACACTGGACTAAGTGTTAGTAGCGGCCTTTCTTGACCTGCAGTTCAACATTTTAATGGTAGGAGACAGAAAAATCTCACAGTCCCATGGCTGCTTCTCTGCTCTCTTCCTACTGAGGTATGGCCCACATCTGTAATTTCACTAGTTTCCTGTTGGTCCAGAAATGTTGCCTACAAATTGCACTTTAGCTACCTGCAGGGCAATATCTAGGTTCAGCTCAAGCCTGCTGAACTCAATATAAATTCTTTGGAGGATGATTTTCAGGAGACAGGGAATGAATTCCATGCAATTCAGCAAAAATATGACAGTGCCTGCTCATTTAACTGAATTTCATCTGTCAGCTACCAGACAGGAGGCCAGAAAACTCAAGCAATTAACTTAGAAATGATGTGTGTGCTTTTGGAAATATAAGAAACACTTACCCCGACTTCTGGTGGGGAATCCTTATTATGTTCAGATAGGACTCTGGTTCGAACCTGTGGAGAAAAATAAACATTTTCTATGTGACCTCAGAGCAGAAACTAGTGAAGAAGCTTCACAGAGGTGCTGGGTTTCAATCTCCTTTGCGTGGTATTAATTCAGACTCTGTTGGTTAATCATTAACAAAGGCACCCGTGCTCAATACCACTGTAGCACAATAAAACTGTCTTTTGATAGCTTTTTTTCCCCCTCAGGTGCTGGGGATTGAACCTGGGCCTTTCGTGTGACTGGCAAACCCCATACCTCTAAGTTACACCCGCAGCCCTCCTTTTATGCATTTTCATCTTTCCGTTTTTCCTAAACACAGTCTTATGCCATCACTTCCTCGTCAAATACAGAGATACTTGGGTTAGGTGAATCATCTTTAATCTCTTCAAAGAGCACCCTTCTTTCAGTATTCAAGGAGATATACAGAGGCAGCATAGAAAAAATAATTCTATGCATTGTACTCAATAAATATTCTCTTAATGAACACCAAAATTTGCAAATAGGATACCCCTCCCATGTGAAAATTCTGGGGCAAATTATCAGACAGTATCATTTGAATTCATTTGAAATGTAACTCTCACCTGGGGACAGAAAACAGTGTCAAACAATTACTCAGGGGCAGAAACTTTTCAAATAAGAATCCTAAGTGAAATTTCAACTCCCTGGATGATGTATTCGTATCTTCTAGTCAGTAGCGATTCTCAATCCTAGACGCACACGAGAATTACCAGAGGACACTTTCAAACTTTTGGTGCTCCTTGCTCCCAGATTTTCTGCATCTATAGAGGCCTATTGAGTCTACAGCTATCTTAAGAAAAAGATCTTTCAAATAAAATTCATGAGCATCTTTCTCACTTCAAAAAGAGTAGCAAAAGCAAGGAAAACCTTAAAGCTTAAATCTAGTTTTACTTCAACTAAAAGAAAGTTGAGCTAAATCAGATAAATGAATACAGTATGCAAGCATATCCTGTGTAACTGGAGAGCAGGGGGCACCAGGGAGGAAGGGCAAACCACAGCCCAAAGAGCACTTCATGGATCAACGTTTTAGGGGGTCATTTTAACAAGATCTCTTTGGACGTACAGTGTTGCAAATTGTGCTTTTCTTCAAATCCTTTAAGTCCCCAAATCACCTGTGCATAGCAGGTCAATTATTCCCGGATAAAGGGATGCTTATAATACTTCTAACAATGTCAAAAGATTTGAACCAGCTCCTAACAGCCTGCTGATTTTTAGCACAGTTTCCATTTCCTTGAAAAAAAAAAAAAGCCACAATCCATGGCAAAACGTGCCTTTCAACTTACAGCTTACCGCTCTTTCTTTGTTTCTTTATGACAGATCCAGCCATATCCCTTGCACAATTTGTCAGTCATTATGGCTCCAAATTGTTCACCAGAGCACAAAATAAATGCCAGGAGAGATCCCAGCAGAGTAAACAACACAATTTATAGAACACGCTCAACTTGGAATTGCATAGCAGAGCACTCACCGGCTAAGAGCATCTGTGTTAGGAGCCACATTAACACTCTTGGGCTGAGTCATACTGTTCAGTCTCATTATTTGAGAGCCACTGGCTGCCCTCCAAGGATAAAGAAATTATAGGCTAGTGGGCCAGATGAACCAGATACTGTGTGTATATTTGCTATATATATGGTATACATAAATACGATCTACTCAGCTCTCTATTTATCTATATATAATGACTATATAGAGTGAAAACAAAACATTATTTTTAAAAATGACACCCAAATAACATTTTCCAAAAGGATATGCTTTGCTGACAAAGTGAAAAAAAATCATAAATTAGTGAGGCTCAGCATATATAGAGTTGTATAAGGTATTTGATCTATATTATGTATGTCTATACATAACTATATGATTAATGCTGAACAAAGTTAGAATACTAACATTCTTGAATGGCCTGTTAAACTTCTAGATTCATAATATTTTCATCATTCCTTATCAGTATGAATAAATATAGAACAAAAAGACTATTTCAAAGTTTTATAAAATAAATAACCAAAAGATATTCTTGGACTGATTTGTTATGTTCTCTGTATGTGTGTTTTGTGTGTGTAAAAGGGAGAGAAAGGAGTGAGGAAGAGACAGATGAAGAAAATGAATTTCCTTTTTCAAATCCCTTAAGTCCACTGTATAGAATTAATATAAATACATGTTTGTCACATTTTTCTATATTGGAACATCTTTAAATCATGAGTAGAACTCCCAATTCAGAGGAACTTAAAACTTTTGTAATTGATTCTAAATTTTCTCAAGTCAGATTTTCATATGAAATGTCATTTAAATTAGTTCTAAAATGTTTCCACTTAAGTTAATATCATTGACATTATGGTGCACAGGTAACACCTCAGTGATGTTTTCCTTACATACGATGTGTCCCTTGTAGCAGTGAACACAACACAAACCCCGTGACAGGCTTTTTGTCAGTGGAAGAGGCCCCCTTCTTTCTCTTTGAAACTTCAGAGTCCAATGGATGGGACAAATGTATAACAACCCAGTCGAGTGTTAAACAGAAATATGGGCAATGGTTCTGGGCATTTAGACTGAAGAAAAATTCAGTCTGTGAGTCTCAGTGGACATTTCACAGGAGAAGTGGTACTTTGAGTTTTGAAGGAGGAGCGTGAGTTAGGAACAAAAAAGGATATGATAAAGCAAGAAGCCTGCTCTAAAATAAGACTGCGGTAAAACTGTAAGAGTTAAAATGTGTTCAGGAAAGAGTGCATATTTTGATGATGCCATAGTGGGCTTCAATGAAGTGACTGGAGTTCAGTGTGTGGGAGATGGGCTGGGATCATTTGCTGTAGAGCACTGTCCATTACGTTTGTAAGTGGAACTTTATCTCATTTAATTTATTTCAGGTAAAAAGAAATCAGTGGAGGCATTAGGATAGGTGTTTCATGTGGTCAGAGTCCCTGGAATCATCCCACTTTACCTCGAGAGAATTATTTCACCCCAGAAAGTTGCTATATTACATCTTTTCCTTCCCTTAGAACCGCACTGGACACAGAGAGAAGAGAGAGAAAGTGCGAAACAAAGGAGGGGGGTGAGGGAGGAAGTGAGGAGGGAAGCACGGGAGGAAAGGAGGGGAAAAGGAAGAAGGAGAGAGAACGAGAAAGAGGGAGCCGGAGAGACAAAGAGGTGGTGATGAGGGGGAAATGTGTCACTGCAATGTAACAGGCGCTGAATAAATTTAGATGGGGCCTCCGGATGAGAAAGGGGTGAAGCAACCGCTGTCACGGAGCTCCTGGCACATTCCAGTTCATTGACAGTGTCAGGCCTCCTGAGAATTTCTGCTTTCCTTAGGAATTTACTTCCCCTTTTTTGGTCTTATAGGCCGTTCTTCCCCCTGTTTCTCTTTACCAAACCCTTCCTTGTCTTTTCCTGGAACATAAGAAGGTCTGTTGACAACGTGACCAAAGCCCTTTCATCTTGAATTGTATGCTATCAAATAAGGCAAGGGCATCCTGGTTCACAGGTTTGCTCATGTGAAAGGTTATGTGATACATTTCTTCTTGAAGAACTCATAATTTCATATAAAGCAAATTAATTCTTCCTCCATCGACCTCAGAAGCTTAAAATCCCACTAAATTTACCTTCAGGATAAAGTTCTGCTTTCACATTCCCTAAAGATACCACCAGAATCAAATCTCTTGCAGCTCTAAAGCAGAGGTCATCATTTTCTTGATGGCTATGAGCTGAGCCACTTTAAATTGCTAGTACCACAGGCTTCCACTCCTTGGTGGGTGGCCTTTTCCATCACCAAACTTAGCAGTAGAGAATTCCCTTTGGGTCATAGACTTCTTGTACTTTGCATCTGTCTTCAGAAGAATCCCTTGTGAAAGTTTACCTTAGTAGGTCAGGCTCTCCTCAGATAATCTGCCTTTCTTTTTCAATTTTAATTTAAATTGAATTCGTTTCTAACCAATATACAAAAATATAACACTGTAATCTTATTAACATGGTACAATGTGACTCTTTAAACACGTGCACACATTGAATATTACATACTTGTGCGTGTGCATGTGCATGTGTCTCTAAGGGTCCCATTTGGAGTCTTGCACATGCTTAACAAGCACTCTACCACTGAGCTACACTCCATTCCTGAACAACGTTTTAATCATTTTAAATATGTCCATTTATCATTTCTTTATGGTGAGATCACTCAAAATCCTTCCTTCCATCTTTTTGAAACATAGATCATAGTTGTTCTATGCCAGTGATACTGAAGTTTTTAAACACCCAGTGCCCAAACCACAACCTAAATCCCACTTATTTATCACAAAGTGCCAACATTGCAATTAACCTGGATACTGAGGTTTTAGTTTAGAAAAAAAAAAAAAAAACTCATACAACTCATGACATCTTCACAGAACAGGCTCTGCATGCCCGCTGTGGCCTGTGTGCCATAGGTTCGCCACCAGTGTTCTATGCAGTAGGACACAACTACACACTCTTCTGGTACTGTAGCTTGGGACCCACTGATCAACGTGCCCCAGCTCAGCCTTCCAGCCTACTCTCCCCAGCCTCTTGTAACTACCATTCTACTATCAATTTCTATAAGAGATGACTTACACTTCTTATAGTCAACTGGTCCATATAGCATGGCCAAATTCTATTGCCGTTATATTGCCTGAGAATTGTGCAGGGATGCAAACCATGAAGCAGCAATTTCAGGGCCTAATTTAGGATTCTGTCTTCTACAATGATCAAGAAGTAAATTTCCATTGTGTTTGGATGCTGAAATTCCCATGCCCCGTGTTTGGCTGACTCAACAGACAGAATGATTTAGACTTCCATTTATTTTAAGTGAAAGTTTAGATTCATCTTATGGTTATGAGGAAATAAGGCAAAAATGCTCATATTAAATCTTTATGCACTATTTTAGCTTCAGCAAATGTAGTAAACACTTAGGATTCAGCCACTATTATGAACACTGGCAATCTCAGAAAGTAAAAGTTTAAGAAGATAAAGCATCCCCTTCGGCAATAAT